GGGGGGGGGGGGAGGAGAAATCTAAGATTATACGTTTGATTTCATTCAAAATACACCAGATGACTTTTGTCAGATTGACAGATGGATCTTTTCCTAAACCTAACCAAGTAGTGTTGTTGATTGAGTAAACCTAAAAGCTAAGTAAACCTATATTGGAAGTTTATTTTGAAAAGGAACTGTATGCATATAACAAAACTTTACAGTCCCTGAATCCAAAACTGATACTAGAGGGGTACCCTAGAGTGTCATAGCTGATATATTGATAGAGAATACTGAGGCCTCATTTTGCGTAAACAGATATAGTGAGATGCTTTAGAATGTTCTTACAACCCAAAATGATTGCATTATATTTAAGGGTTTCAATGGAAAGTGGTAAGTTCTCAGTATGTTTGAAATGAAATGCTTGTCAGCAACGTTATATCTCTGCAGGTAATGTTAGCTAATGTAACAGTTCTTCAAAGGAAAGAAGTTACAGATTTATACACTAAATGCTACAATCCCACTGAAAAGTAGCAACAAAACTGCTGGGACATGCTATAAAAAGAGGGTTTTCTGTTTTAAAAAGGTCTTAAGAGGTCCCGGTGAGCATCAACTGTGATTTCAACATTAATATCTGTTGGAAAACTGGGTCATATTCGGTCTGACCTCTTTTTGACCTCATTTCAGCTAAAATGCAGTTACAACATCAATGCGTCACAAAACACCACTTTGTTTGACAATGTTGATTATTTGCTCAGTTGACAGAGAGACGATATTGATTTCCGTAAATGTTATTCTCCAGAGTCCTATTGCACTGGTTGGCGAAATGTGGCCTACATGAAGACATAAGCTAGTAGCAGTAGCATGTTAGCTTGTAGCATGTTAGCTTGTAGTGTACTGTAGCGTGGACAGCAAACATATACAAGCTGCCAGACTATTTTCACCGTATGTGTGCGTGTAACGTGTAATTTGGCTTTATGGGCTGTCGCTGTAGCCTAACATTACAAAAGTTATATTTTTAGGAAATTTCGCATCTCAAATACACAGAAAAGGAGTGGGGCTGTATGCAGTTTGGATGGGAAGGGAGTAGATACAACAAAGTAATGCACAGATAAGAAGACACAGCAACATGCAAACAACGTAGAGTATGATACTATTTAATATAGAGAGGTGTTTATCCTTAAATATGAATGCAAAATTACAGAAATTGCAGTTATGCTCAAAGATATACGAAACCCTTGATGGACATTCATCCTTTCCTGATATAAGATTTATTTTTGATACTTTTCACAGATGTCCACCATCTGAAACCGGCTCCTGGTTGGTTTTGACAAAAACATTTGAGGAAAGAAAAGGAGATTTTATTATGATTTGCAACCAAAAAGTAAATTTTCTATTTCATTGTAATTGTATTTAAAGAGCATTGTTCATGTTATATCTAAATTGTAGCTCAATAAATACAAAGGAGTTGTAGCCTGTGTCACATGGTTTTCTTTGCCCTGTAAGTGGAAACTGTTGATGTGTTAGAATGACGACCTTTGAAAAGACCTTTGATGGTGAAAAGATGTTCAAAACTGGGTAAAACGTGAAAGCTTTCTCGCCAACTATTTGAAGACATTGATTAAATATTCACAGTTCGACCATCATTCACTGGGATTTGCAATTCTGTCTTTCAACTGAAAAACTTGGATGTGGTTTCTTAGTTAGGGTCTAAAACGACAACATGTTGTTATTAGCAAATATGAAGGATGAAACATTTCTCAACAGCAAATTGAAGTGAAATATGGTCTAAGTGTGAACGTTAAATCAACGTCACCAAATAGTCGGTGAAACATTTTTCATGTTTGATTTCAGCGGTGACCAAAGATATTTTTTTACATGTCTTTTCAGTACAAAATTGCTCACTGGGGTTAATCACACTGAGTTAGTGTCCCTGATGGTGTTACCACCGTTAGAAACGCTTGGAATAAAACTAAGTGTCATTTGTTTAATCAAAAACCCATATTGGTCAAACACCTTTCTTCTTTGTTTTTTGATTCAGGCTTCTATAGTCACTTGTGGTCTGCTGTAGAAAGAGACAGCAGGCTTAATCAAATGCAATGTTAGCAGAGGGAAGGTCTGCTCTCCTTATGGGCTTCAGACTCTGATGTCCTGTGCTGCCAGACAGATGTGAAAAGATCACAGCAGTACATCTTACTGAACATGTGGACCTGATGACGGGAGTAGAAACTATTTTCTAAGACTCTTTTTACAATTAACAAGAGCCATTAAGTCTTTTAAGATAATCAAGGAGTATTTAATTGTGCCTGTAGTTAAATGCAACACTCATTGCCAAACCAAACTAAAGGAACAAATCTGTTAAAACCGTAGTATCTCTGGTTGAGTGTAGCTAATGGCTCTATGTGGAGACTACATGACAAAAGAGATCCGATAACTGTTAACAGACGTCAGATGTCATCCACCTGTAAATGAGATGGGACGCACATTGCACTTCTTTTGTTACCTTCTTATTGGACCGATCAAAGACCCCTTTAACATGTTGCTACGATGAGGAAGATATCTAAGTAGTTCTTAAAGGACCATGCTAGTTTTCTGCACACTATAGTTCAAATGTCCAATCCTTTGTGCTTGACATTACTGCTAACTATTTTCCAAACACCACCATAGTCTTTTAGGGTTTTGAAAAGGATCAAAGGAACATGGTACTTGCTTTTATCATTGTCAAAGTTGCATTCTAATTGTATGGTAATGGTGCGCATACTTTTCAAATCAATCCGCACACCTCTCATGAGAGTTGTTCTGATACCAAAACCAGTATCAGAAATGCCTCTTATTTATCTTAAAATGTTGGATCGGGTATCCGTGAGTATAGTAGTCTATGCACCGATCTGATATCGCGTCATCTTTTCATTTATCAGTTCATTTATGCTACACAGGAACAACAACAGTGTGTCACACACTACCTGATCCGTACGTCCTGCCAGATCGGACCTGAGCATGTGCAACGCTCAACAGAGATGGTTTTTAACGCACTGGTAACAGATTGTATCGGCCAATACGCAAGTTCAGGTATCGGAATTGGTATGGGGAAGGAAAAAGTGGTTTCGAAATATCATTGGCTACAAATGCCTCAATCTTAATCTTACAGTTGTATAGATACATTTGCTCTTTGCCAGATTATGGAAATGCAGCCGACTGGTTTCAGTGATGTGACGAGGGTGGCTGAGCAGGCTGAGGTTCAGATGGGTGGCAGAACACAGTCTGACAGCATGATGTGCATGTGCCCTGTGCAAACGCAGCATACCTATTCACTCAACTAGATTTAAAGAGGATTGGAAGAAGTCAGAAAATGTTTTCTCTGCATTGGTGAGGGTTCCCGCACATTGTTGTCAGGAGTGGAGCTGAGGCATGTCATGGACATGGCAGCGCTCCATTGAGACAGCATTCCATCAGCTGCATCTATTTTGTCAATAAAAGATTTGGATTTCCTGCCTGCTGAAAGCGCACCAGCAATCCAATCCTGCGCTGACGACATCAGCTTTGCTTAAAACAACAGTGAAATAAATCTTGTATTGAGGGGATCTTGTTTGCCACGCAGCGATGGAGTCTCTGTTTCATTGGCTTTTATTTAGTGGCAAATTTGCAACACAATTAGAGCCTTATCTTACACTAAAACAACATTCTAAGGAAAGCTTTATATTGTCCTCAAGTGGAAACTAAATCCAGCTAATAAAGATCTACACTCTGGTTCAATGACTCCGTTGGCTGCTGGCTGATCCTGATCCATTAAAGTGTCATGTGGGGTTAGATTAGATTGCTGAAGAAACAAGTTTGGATAATTTTCAACACCCGCAGTGGATCGCTCACAGATGATCGCACACAGATGGGAGTGCAAACTCAGCTAAAGTACGAGCTCAGTGTTTGCTTTAGCTCAGAGTGCGTGACGCTCTATGAACACACCACTCCAGTATACAGTGTCCCGGCCAAGCTGAAAACACTCACCTCCTCTGTGCTCATCCTCATCGGTCTTGGCAGCCTTGTAGTATGTGATGCCCCTCACCACGCCGGGCTGGTGGCCAACCACCTTGGCTTTGGCTGTAGGGTCAGGCTTGGCCGGCTTTCCAGGCTTAATGACCTCCTTCTTGGGCTTTACGACCTTTTCTTTGGGCGGTTTGGGCGAGAGTTTGGCTGCAGGGGTCTTTTTGTTGGGTACTTTTACAGTCTCTTTTGTTTTCTCACCATTGGTGTCCTGTAAACATGACACTCTGGTTATGTCAGGACACTTGGTAATATTGGCATTACAAGTAGTGCTAATAATGTTGCCAGTATTATTATTAGTAGTACTGCTGCTGATAATATTACTACTGGACCAAATGCATCTCTGTTGCAGCTGTACTAACAGAACTCGTCAACTCGTCAAATACGGAGGCTTGGTCAGTGTCCCTTGGCGTCTGATACCGACGCAGTGAGCCACAGTGTAGTGTCTGTATGAGACACACCGGTCCATGTAAACCCATCCTCGACATTATTAGTCAGAGCAACTGATGTATAACGAGGCCAAGTCCGTGTAGGATGTTACGTATCTTACATACTTCATATAGATACTTCATTTACTGTTCTTGCCTAAACCTGAACCTACTTGTTGCAAAAGTAAACTTAAAAACTAAGTAAACCTACGCTTTGACATGTCCACAAAAGTGACACTAGAGGGGAACCTAGAGCGTCATAGTTGGTATATATATATATATATATATATATATATATACTGTATATATATATACCTATTGGTATACAGCGTTAGAATTTTGACGAGTTTGGAGTGAGAACATGGTAAATGTGTCTAAATGTTCCTTTAATTGCTGAAGTTGTGATTACAACTTTCAAAAAAATGATATTACCGGCAAAATATGTTTACAAAAAAGCTAAGAGTGTAACTGTAACTGTAATAGTTGACACCCTCTACACAGAGACATGTCTGAGATACTCGATTACTATAGCACTGCCTGTAATGTACTGCTAATCTTACAACTACTAATACTAATGGTACAACTAGTAGTGATACTACGAGAAGTACTACAGTGTCATAGTTGCTCTAATGCTTCCATACGTATGCAACAGCGCAGAAAGTGTTTCTTGGAACCTGTGCTTTTCTCTCAGAAGAGTCTTTCTGCAGCAGCTGCTGGCTGAGGCTGGAGATCTCCTTCTTGATGCTCATCATAACGTTGGAGTAGTTCTCATATCTCTTGAACTGGTTGGTGAGGCTCGTCATGCTGTCTCGAACAAAGTCATTCTCTCGCGTAAGGTTCGTCTTGATTGTCTGCAAGATAACGTCATTATTTACATCAATCATGATCCATTAAATAAGCTCGTAGTTCAATCACGTGTCTCAGAGCAACCCTTTGATTATCACTAAGGATGCACTGATATCTTCTATGTTTATATACTATAAATATTGTATACTGGGATTTTAATTCCTGTTCTGACTAATTGATTGCTTGACTTTGAAGATTTTATGCCAAGTTGCTTCTATTATTTTAATGATAAATAACAATTTGATACATTTACGTATATCTATGTATTTACCTTATGCAAAGTTAATAAAGCAATGTTTAAGTCAAGCCTGATGACTATAAAAGAATGACCCCAGTCACTTAAACACACTGAAGCATACAGCTTATGAATCAAACAACGTTATCTGATCAGAACATAAAGCACGGGTATCGGGTATGAAAAGGTCGAATCAGAATTATAGTGATATGAGGAGATGCACGAGTTTGGGTGTTGGCCTACCTCTTCCAGAGTGTTCATTTGAGACATCACTTTGTTGATGTAGGAGTGGACCTTCATTAGATCCATGCTGTACAGTGTTCCCTCCAGGAGGTCCACCATAGATTGAAGCTGGTCATTTATGCCATAAAAGGAGAAGAACTATTACTCATCATCTCCTGAACACAGACCTGACAGCTTTATGTGCCTCTGTTCAACTGCAGGAATAGTTTTATGAGCCCTCCAGAAACATTTTTCTGATCACCACTCTTGACATCCACACTGATTGCTCTCAGTCTGGGGTTCATTCAGAGTCCGTCTTAATGATTTTAGACCTTTCCTTTCCAATGTAATCCTTTCCTTCAGATATGTATCGGCTTAGCGTGAAGTTTAAAGTGGAGTCAGACATCTGGAACTGCCTTCTGCTTCATATGGTCCATAGCGTGCTTTGAAAGTGTGCTTCAGGTATGTGCAGAGGTGTGCTGACGTTCGATGACATACAACTACAGCCAGGATACACAGAGATGAAGAATGACCTTCTGAACTGGAGGGATGTTTCCTTTCATTGATTGCTTTTCTTTTAGTTCTATTTTACAAGCACTCTGAGTGAAACATGTAAGGTTCTCATTTCAATTAGTTTAGTTCTTTTTACTGTTTTATAGCTTATTTTTACATTACATTCTATGTGTATTCATCATCAATTATTATATTCAGTTCAAAACTGATATGGTGGTATGAAAGTGGACTCATTGTTTTCTATGTGGCTGGATCTGATGATTGCAACATTGTGGGGTTGCAGCTATACATTATTTTCATAATTTTCATAATTTGTTGATCAATGAAATGTCAGAAAACACAATCACAATTTCTGATGTCTTCAAATTACTGTCCGACCAACTAAATACACGAGATGTACTTTACGGTCATAAGACAAAGAAAACCTTGAGTCGTTTGTCATTTGTACTTTAATGCATTATAACGACACTTATTATAGTTATTTTATTATATTTATTATACTCATATTATAGTTGTGTTTTAATCCCTTTTAGTTATAGTTATAGCACTCATAAATATTCATAAGATGTTATCACAACAATCATAACACATTATGAAGCATTTTAGAATAACTTAAAAGGTTAATAGTGTATTATAATGTACAAATTAATTTACAGCACTTTGTGTGGTGTTGCAATGATTTAAACTGACAATGAAACTTGTTTGACTCCTATTTGTCAAATGTGTTGAAAGTAACAAACTATTCAAATCTATAAAAGATGGAATTGTGTAATTTTTGTATAAACAACAACTGATCCATCAGTATCCTTTGAAAACTCAAGACCGCCGAAACCGGCCCGCCACCTCATTTGATGTGGTCCGCGAGAGCTTGAAAGGCAAATGATTGTCTTAAAATGAAAGTCCATGCTGCTTCACAGTGTACAGTAAACAATAAACTACATCTACCACAACGTATGCCCATTGTGTGACCCGCGAGTGATGGCATCCTGCCGCTGGATAGCAGTTTTTCCATATTGATGTTTAACTAAAGCGGTTTTCCAACAAGTGATTGAGTTGAAAAAGATCAACAAATCATCCCAAAATGTCCAAGAAGAGAAAAACTGATGCAGAGGGAAGGCAATTTAATGAAAGATTCACGTCGGCACCAAAACAAGAATACTAAATTTAGCCTCCAAGAAAAACATAACATGCAGAATGCAATCGCAGCAGAATATATTTACAAAAGTTACAGCCCAGAATGCTGTGAAAGCTTTATTGTGGCTGAAGAAATCGCCCGAGCTTCCAAGTGTTTTTCAGAAGGTGCATTGAATCAGTGCATGCTAAAGGTCTGTGAGCAGGTGAGCTCCGACCAGATACAGACTTTTACAAATGTCAGTTTGTGAAGAAACACCATCGCAGACCGAGTTCAGGAACTAGCAGCAATCTGACAACACAGCTAGCTAAGAGACGAGCAGGTACTCGTCTTCTTCATTAGCTGTTGATGAAAGCACAGACAACACGGATACAGCGCATCTATCAGTGTTTATAAGAGGCTGAAGGCAGACCTGACTGTCAGTCAGGAGCTGGTGGATGTAGCTGCCATGCACGGGAGACAACGGGAGGGGTGACAAAAATAGCTTCAAACTAAGTTAATGTAATAACTTGTGTTTGATGATATCTGTCTTTGTTATTTTTTGAAGTTTGGTCTTTGATAGAGTAATGTGGGTTTCTTAACCCTGAATTAAAATGATTTATGTTATAATAACAGAAATGTGCTTAAATATCATTTTACATTTATATAACTGCATGCACAATATTTTTACACTTGAATAAACAATAATCAAATGCAGAGACAGTTATTTAACAATATGTTAGGAGTAGTTAGATTTATACAGTCTTACAGTTACAACCGGCCCTTTGAGGGCAACCGTGATGCTGATGTGGTCCAGGGTGAAGATGAGTTTGACACCCCTGCTTTGAAAGATGCTATGATCACATAAATATTCATCTCCTCACCTTCAGTAGCTCGGGGGCCTGTTTCTTCAGCTTCTCCATCTTCCACTCATTCTCACAGGGGTTCAGGGAGGACGGCGGGGCCGTGCACGAGCACTTGCAGTCGGACCCAGAGCTGACTGTCTCTACCGTGTAGAAGTCCTCCACGCGTACACTCCCGGTCCGCAGACGCAGGCAAGCATCCTTGGACAGAGGGCGCATGATGCACTTACAGCGGCAGTCTGAGCCCTCTGACGTCATCCGGACTGGCTCAGTCTCCCCAAAGATCTGGAAGACAGAATGTGAATTGTCCCATTTTCAAATCCAAAGGAACATTTATTTTGAGTCTTTTTCGAGTTTTTTCACTATAATCTTCTTTTCAATTTTGCACATAAGAAACTCTTGGATGAACATGGATGTGTGTTTACCCAAACCCATGAAATGTCATCTATTCCATTAGTCTAACCCCTGTTGGACTTCCATGGGATATGAATCCATTTTTTATTACAGGGAAACAAAAGAAAGGGAAGGAAAGTGATCTTGAAAAATAGCCACAAGCTTCCCCTACTTTGAATGTTAGCAGGTGTGACTCAACTGAAAGCCTCAGAGACAAACAGAGATGACAGAGCTCTGGCAGGCTTACTTAATAAACAGGATGCACTGCATGGCAGCCTGGGCTGACATTCCACACTCACCCTGCATGAAACAAGTGCAAGCTAGCATACAGTGGAGATAGCTTTCATACAAGCATATTTGTTCATAATGTCGATGTTCAGGCGGTGATGGTGAGTTGGCAGACTGAGGTCTGCTGGGAACTCTGTGAATTTCTCCACTACAATCCATCTCCCCTTATTTCACAAAGAAGGGGGGGGGCAAAACCTTGTGCAGCAACAGTTGTGTCACATTTTAGATTGCATATATTGTCAATGCCAAGACACAATGGGACGCAAATGTGTCCTGGGCGGTGAGCATGGAGGATGTAGTTGTGGGTGATGCGAGGATGCAAAAATGTTTCAACTTGAGCAAAATTGTAGCACGATACATCAGCGGGCCACCTCTGGTTCTGAAAAGTGAAGTAAGTGCAGAAAACGGCATTCTTTCTACTGGCCAACAGGTCTTCTTCAATACAGCATGATGTTCATTTAGTAAATGATGGTCCATTTAGAGTCAAACAGACCATAAAGCAGGGGATGCTTCAGGGCGGGGCTACACGGTGATTGACAGGTCTCTATTACAGCGTTGTAGTCTGGGAGTTGTCCGTGTTTTCGTCTTACAACTTTCACACTTTCAGTGTGTTTTCACTTCATGAAAGTTTATCTTAACATTTTGGTCGCCTAAAGATGTCTTATTTAGAGTTCGGTTGTACTTAGCTCCGCCCTTTTGTGTCATTTCTGGTTGCAGAAAAAAACAAGATGGATGGCAAGATTTATACAAGCTGTTTCACATATGCAGTCATACTCCTGCAGTCCTGGAAACAGGCTGACATGTCACAACATCACTGTACAGCCTCACTGTAATAAAACCTTGTCTCACCCACATATTTCAAGGTTTCAGTTGCATCCTCTTTTGTGCATTGTAGGAGAATTGTTTACCACAGGTCATTGTTTTTGTTTGATAGGCTGCATGCATCGTGCCTTTTCAAAATGACAGTTTTCTGTGCTTTACATGCATACACTACTTCTAAATAAACTTCAAATCTAGGTTTATTTACTTTTTAGGTTTACTTGGTTCGATAGGTTTCGGAAAAGATGGTGGTTTGGGTTAAATCAGGTACGTTTGTTACGTAAAATAAGTAAGTTTGTTATCTAACTGGCGTTACTTAATACATACGTAAGTTATGTAACAAAACTATGGTAAAATAAGTCAATGCAGACTTGGTTTCATACGGGACATGAACAGCAGATAGATGGGTCAAACAGCAGCTTGTTTGGACTGTCATTGAGGGACCTCTGCAGGATGGGCGCACACGTGTTAGCACTTTTATCAGAGATGGAGTTGTGCAACGCAGAGATTCCTCATTAACGAGCTGTAGTCCTTTCCTCATGTCACTGAAGGTAGGAGGTAGTACTCTCACAATATGAATACAAGAAAATGGAATAAACATTTCTCACCATCTTCTGACATTTTACAGACTTTTTCACAAAGTCTTTACAAATGTTAAATGTGATCTCATGGGAAGGTGTGAAGATAGCATGCCACTTTTAAGGGAATTCCACGAGTCGTGATACGTGTTTTACGTGATTTAGCATTGTTTAGCAGGACAGCAGCAGGCTGAAGGTAAGTTAGGGGAGTGGAAGAGGTGGAGGTGTTGGGGGCTCATTAGTGAAAGAATGCAGGCTGAGTGATGGGGGGGCTTTCCTTTCCATTACTGCAGACATACTGGGAGGGGGTCTGATATGGGGCAGGACTCCTGTGTGCAGAGCCGGGCCAATCTTGACCCATGTCAAGCGAAAAGGCAGCAGGTTGACAAATCTTACAGCCACATGAAAACAGAGTGGATTAGCAGATTAAACTTCTTCAGCAGAGGCTCTTCCTACGGCCCTGCTGAGCTGCATTGGTTAACCCAAGCCAAACACCAACTGCTGCGTCGAAACATCCGCTTAAACTGCTTTAAGTTGGAGAAGTCAGAGAAATTCCAGCCAGCTTTACTTTGGTACTTCATGTTTTGTCTAGTCAAGGACTGAATCATTACCTGGCAGGCTCTACTGCATCTTATCATCAAACGTTTGAATCATTCTGCCAATTGGAGCAGTTGTCTCCTCCTCCTGTCAAATCACGTGTGCTGGTTTGACTAACTGACCGTCCAGCATCTCATGCCAAGCTGACCTAACAGCATGAGAGCGGGCAACACAATTAAGAGCTCTAATAATTAAGAGCACAGAGTATCTAATGCATGCTTACAGCTCGGAGTCTTTGGCTTTGACCTCTCAAGTGCAGTCAAGTTTCAGGTCACAAAGAACACGGCTCAAACATGAACTTATGTCTGCACAATGGGAAGAAAGGAGCTCTATTAGATCAGCTGCTGCAGCCTGTAACAGCTAACTCTCCCTGACAGTGATGAAGTGAAGCCCCTATTGTGCTCAAGTTTGCTAAAAACACCAGATGTGTTCCACAATGGCTGCTGCATTAGTTAAAGTCATTGGCTCTCAGGCAACATTTTGGTGTTCTTATTTTAACTTTCTCTTCCTTTTTATCGAACAGTGGGTTCATACTAGTGAGCCACGTGATGGCTGTGACAAGAGGAGGACAAAACCTTTAACAAGCTCACATTCATTTTGTAGAACAATAGCATCAACAGCCAATTTAAGTTAATGGTGATATCTTTAGGCTCTATGAACACATTTAGAATTATATTTGCCTAAACGTCAAACATAATGTCAACCTAATTGTGAAGTGTATTCATAAGGGTTTTCATACTCAAAAATGCTAATGAAATATACAATCCATTAGAGAAACACGTAGGCTTGGATAGCAGCAGGCTAATAGTACACGACTCCTACGACAGGTCTGGACCTAATGGTATATTCAAAACACGAGAAAATTGGTGAAAGTTGCCCTGAATCACTCCAGCCTCTTAAGAAAGAATCTGTCCATATGAGCGCTTCTAGCATGAGGCTCAGTGTGTCAGTAGCACTGTATCTGCAGCCTTGGGACAACGGTATGGTGAAAGAGGCAAGCGACGCAGGTATCCTGTTCCATAAGTGCTGTTATGACCTGCAGACCCCCCCCCCCACGCTTTGCTTTTTAAAATGATGTTCCCATAAATGCACAAGAAGGCAGCTCTAATCAGTCTTAAGCCCATTAAAGGATCGACTATCCCTTTAAAACCCACATCATCTCCTGTCAAGGTTACTCAGGACCAAAACCGGGGTCCACATTCCAGTCCAAAGAGTCTGCCGGATTTTTAATCTAATTAGCCGCGCATATGATAAACAGTCTTACTGTGCCACTGTAAAGATTAACTTGGTACAAAGGCTTTGGAAGCCTTCAGTGTAGATATGAACCATGAGGTCGGTGGCTCAGACTATAAACAACAACACTGGCATCAGCACAGGGATGTTAATTAGCTGAACACAAAGGGTATCAAGCACTTGCTGCTTTTGCAGGTACATATCTACATTCCTGCTGAGTCTGTTTATGTGTCCCGGCACCCTTCCAGTCCTCACAGCACTAATACATATCGACCTTCATAACATGTCTGTTATACTGAATGAATTAATGGATTACTTGTGTGAAAGTTCCTGTCTAGCCACAGTAAGATTACAGAACTCTGGGAAACATAAACAGGATTTCCTCACATTTTGCTTAATTTCCCAACAATAAAATCATCAGTCTGCTTTAGGGAGGAAATCCTCTGAAAACACAGATACAAATCAAGCTGCCAATACGGCTCTCTGATGAAATCCACATGCTGTAAGAATCCACTCACAGGCACAAAGACGCACTAATTGTTAGTGTGTGTCTAGTGACCTCAACGACGAGTGGAATGAGAGATGCTGCCAATGTGTTCTCTCCAGATGATTTGTTACAGCAGCTGTTAACAAGCTGCAGAGGTCATCAATGATCAGAGAGATACTGTGCTCCATGTGTTGAGAAAACAAAAAAAGAATTGAGACTCAACCTTCTGGTGGGTCGTGTTATCTGAAAGAACAAAGGCCAACGGTTGATTCATATAATGGTGAAGATGTTCATCCTATACATTTCTCAAAGCTAATATAGGAATGTCAAAAACCCATGAATATTTACTTTTGTATAACAGAGTTACTTTGAATTAGTGTCTGAGTGAGATGACAATAAAGCATGCTTAAAAAATACACATATTGGTTTTTTAGATAGCCAGCCATTTTTCTAAGGGACCTGTGAGGAGAAGTAGCTGGTCTGGGTGCTGCTATCACCAACCAACAACGTTCATCAACTGTTCTTAAGATGACATTTCTTCTTGAACCTGACTTTCACAAAGATTCTGGGTTCTGGTCTCAGGTAAGAACAGAATCTACACACACTCAAGAGGGCTGACATCTTTGTGCTGAATAATTGGTTATTGCATTTTCTTCAATTGTACAGTTGCATAATATGATAAGATTTAAACTACAATAATATCTTATAATTACTATATTGTCATTATTTTATAAAACATCATAGTGAACGAGTAGTAGCATACCATGCATCTGTTTTTGTGTTGTTTCACATCCACTACTGACGCTGCTAAGTATGACAGACGGAAGTTTTTTTTAATTTACGAGGACGATGGGATTCATCATAAGAACACATACGAACAGTGCTGCTGTTTGAGAACACGTGGTAAGTCTGACGCAGACTTTTCTGGGACCTTTCTAGAGAAGAACGAATTAAAGAAAGAACTCAGGAAGACACTGCAGAGTGACGCCCGTTGATATTTGAATGTTCTGCAGATTACGTACAGTGCCGATGTTTTACAAACTCTCAACTTCTACAACACTGTGTATGGCAACAAAGTCGGGAAACTTGGAAACATCACAGCTAAATCCACCTCTCTGCAACTCTAAACTCACTAATTAATACTTTATAGCTGGTTTGTTTGATATGTACAAAAACTGAAGTATAAAAATAACATGTTAGGTTTTATGGAGGGGCATTGTTTGGCCAGGTGCAGTTTGCAGGCAACCACAGAGACTCCATGAAGCTGTTGCACCTGCCACAGAATAATCCCCCCTAACGCACTACGTATTGTTTCTACACTTTTTTGCTGTTGTATGCTGTTTCCAGTCTTTGTGCTGAGCTGCTGCTGGTGGGGACAGTGCTATCAATCTACTCATTTAGCTCACAGCAAGAAATCCAACAAGAGGATTTACCAAAATTAGGGAAAGAATGTAGTTAAGGTTAATAGAAGATGAAGCGTTAACGTTAATGGCAGGTCAGTGATGGGATGCTAGCTCCAGTCTAAAGCAACATGAGATGCACCACACGACCTCCTCTTACTACATATACAGTAGATCACACTGCTTCCTGCACTGACACCGATTGCTGAAATAGGTGGTAAATTGTACTTTTCAGCAAGAACATGGGTGTCATTTCTGGGGGATGTCGGCCTCATTAGAAAGACATGATGATATGTTGTTTGTTTCTTCATCTCAGCCTTGACAGAAACGTTAGAGCTGCAAGTCTCTCATATTTAGCTGCTTTTGGGGATTGAAGAGAACATATTTTTGCACAAGTTTATAGTTGTTGACTGTATGTGCATAAAGGGTAGTTGAGGGTTTAAAGTTAGGCATGACATTCATTTACTCTTCATGTTTGTAAGTAGACTACAACAGAACACAAGGGCCCAGTTCTGTGAAAGGTCAAGGTCCCCAGGGAGATGGTGCCTGAGAGACTTTACAAAGACCGTACAAGAACTAGGACATACACTGCAGATAAGAGACAAACTCAATTTGAAACATCTCTGTGATCATGAATCCTGCCCTGGAGGATTAAGGGATCTGCACAGAGAGAGAACAAACGGCCCAAACCATGTAAAGCCTTAGAAGCTTGCAAAAAAGACCGATGACGCTTTCAAATGCACAATTTCAGAGCATGCGGAGTGTAACAAAAAAATAGCTCATGAGCTAAACATAACACAAACAGTAAGGACATTGGTGTCTGGTAAATTATTTCCTTGTTGTAACAATGCTTCTTGGCAGTAAATCTTATACCGTTGGAAAGCCTGTTTATTTCCCTTGGCCACATTCATAAGGAACATGCATTTGTGGGATGAGCAGCAGAGCTGAGTATGTGGGTTGCGCCCATGAAATATTTGCCAAATCAAAAACCTCTTTCTGTTTCTTACTGTCTGCCTGAATACACCTGTATTCACCTGCTGCCTGAGACGCTCCGTGATCGCGGCTGTCACTTTAAGCCTTTCTCCTGGAAAACCCCGTCAGCTGCTATTGGTCGAGGTTCCCCAGTCCTCCGCGTCTTCACAGAATCACTGCAGTCCAGGACTTACTGTGAGTTACAACTACACAGAGTTCAGTGCCACTTGTACTGGCGACTGTATAGTTGTGACATCACAATCTTGCGGAAGTCCGGATGGCTCGTTTAAAGGCCCAGCTTCTTAATATGAGCTGCGTGCATTTCTCTCTCGATTGAACGTTTCACTACTTAAGGCAGATGCTATTAGCAACTGAAGATAATATTAATAAGAAACTTGAAAATAATAAATGTATTACTAAATGTACTCAAACACCAGTCTCCGAAGTTCAAGCCATACAACTAATATTACTATTACTGCTGCTACTAAATCCTTCTGGCAGAGAGCCTTTCAGCAAACTATTGTTAACATGAGGAGCATAATCTACTTGGCTGGGTGTAAATAGCCTAACAGCTGCCTTGTGACTTTTCTCACAATGTCGCTCCGTTAATTTGAATGTGCACAGTCCTTGGTAATTGTATGAGTATATGAATAAATGAGTCTGTAATAAAAACAAGGCTGTGTTTTAATGGCTTGAGATAAGAGTTTTGGACCAGCGAATAGAAGCCTTTATTACACTGATTTAGAAGATCACAGCTTCTTTGAGTTGTTGCACAGCACACACAGGAGAACAGCCTAAAATACAACATCCTTATTGACCATTTTGTACCAAAGCCAAGCAACGTCAGACCAGTGTAAAGCCCGGTCGTGTGCAAGGCCGTGCACCTGAGTCGTATGGTGAATGTTGACCTCTTCACACAGACACCAACAGAAGGTGTGAATGAGGTAGTCTCTCTCATTTCAAACAGCTTGCAGCTTTGTTTCAACCACGAACAGAGCGACTTCACTCTCTGCAGACTGATAATGTTGACTCTTCATCCAGCCCCATGAGACATTCTCAATTAAATGAAACCATAACATGGCATGACAAAATGTCGGTTCACGTACACCTACAAGGCACCTTCCTGCATCTGTAAGTGACTGTAATCATCGAGCCCTGTCTCTGCTGCTCTGGGCTATTTCATTAAGGCCGACTGAGCATCCCCAGTCTGCTGTTTCCTCCTCTCCAGCCCTCAGTTGACCCCGGGCGATTGTCCTCGGGGTTGTTTACAACCAGAACACGGAGCAGGTGCACCCACTGCTTCCCACGCCACCCTCTGGTGCCCTCCATGCCCTCTTGTAAGCAGGCTTTGTCTCACATTAATGTCAGTGCCACCAGTTTGGCGACACAGACTATGACTGGGCTTCTCCATTGGCCAAAAGACTGGAGCTGTGCCACTGCTGCATGATGGGGAATGGTGTTGGGAGGAGAAATATGTAGGGATATACAGCTAAAACAAACAAACAATGGATTTACTATCAAAGCTTCAGTCTTCAGAAACACATCTGATACAGCCTAAAATACTGGATCAGGTATCGGTGGCTATGTGATCTATACACTGATCTGGAATCACATTATGATTTGTTTATCAGGTAATTTATGCTACACAAGAACAACGACACATGCCACTATCTACCTGGTCCGTATGTCCTGCTCTATTGGTACTGAGCATGTACAACTCTCCACAGAGATGAAACAGAAGCAAGATGGCTCACTCACTAGCTGCTTCCATCATCAGCTCCAGAAAACATTATCGCTCCGACAGAAACCGATGATCAAGACTCTCTGTTGAGAGTTGCACATGTGCAGTACTGATCAGGCAGGTGCAAGCGGAGAATGTAACGCTAGCAGTAGCTTACAGTGGAAAATCCCACTAGTAAAAATTCAATGTGTTTTTAACACACTGGTATCGGATCGGGAAGATAAGAATGGGGAAGTATAAATGGTATGGGAACCTCTCTAAGTGACATGCAGCAAAGGTGTGTGGATGGACTCTAACATGGGACGCTGAGCTTTTGCTTTCAGATTATCCACCAGATGTTGAAACCTGGCTGCAGGGATTCGCCCCCATTCAGACACAGCATCAGTAAGGTCCAACACCGATCACAGTCCATGTTCCAGTTCATCCCAAAGGTGTTGGAATGGGTTTCGGTCAGGTTCTTCATCATTTCTTTAAGGAGCTTTGTTGGTGCTTAGGAGCATCGTCACGTTGAAACCGAAGAGGGACAAACTTCAACTGTTGCCACACAGTTGGAAGAACAGGGTTGTCGAAATGATCTCTGGAAGCATCAAGATGTCTTTCTTTGGCCTCGACCCAACCACACACACATACTACAACAACTTGTACTACTACCAACACTACCACGTGCTGCTTCTACTACTGTTGTAATTAGTACTACTGCTGCTACTTTTACTATGAATACAAGTGTTCCTATCAGTACTACTACTATGGGGCGTTTGCTCTGCACTCACTCACTGACCTGGCCTCTGATTGTATCCAGAGCAGCCAGTTGTTTAGTCACACCATACATGTGCGACAAAGCCTCTGGTCTTATAATAGGTACTGTACATGCATTGTGTGTGTGTGTGTGTGTGTGTGTGTGTGTGTGTGTGTGTGTGTGT